AAAGTGAACATTTAGCTGCATCCTGTTCTCTGCAAAATGCAGAACTGCACCCTCTGCTTCTCTTAGCTCAGGCGGGGCCCCTGGTCCCTGTGCTCATGCCAGTCTCTGAAGACTCGCAAGCCCTTGGCGATATCTCCAATGGCCTCTTGCATTTAGATTGAGGATTTTACCAGATACACGTGTGACAGAGTGAGTGTGCACTGAGTAGCAGGCACAGGAGCAGCTCAGGCCCAGGAGGGTTTGCTCAGTGTTACAGGTCTTCTCTTTATCAAGCATAACAACCTACTTTTTCTCTGATCAGTCTGTACTGATTTCTAGATTACTGGAGTCAGCAGTTGTGGTTTTAATACACACTGGAACAGAATGACATAACAATGAGTTTGACCAAATTACTCAGGCCTTAAATGACCTTGAAATTAGGTACTGTTTCTGTTGGGACTACAGTAAATTTCTCAGCACTTCCTCTTTATTTTCTGGACTCTCTTTGGCTAGAAAATTCCAGGTGACCACTTGCCCAAGTTTGGTTGAAGGGCATGATTGGAGAGGTCACCTGTTAGCTGACATCAGAGGCAGGGAGGTTCTATGCCTCTGCAGAAGAGGAAGCAGCTCCCTGATTCTGAGAACTTCCTGTGTGGTACAGTGGCAGAGGGGCAACCTCATGGCTCATGATCCTGTTCTTTTCTCCCAGGATAGGTGGCCTGGTTGCCCAGAATGACATTTCCTTGTTCTGTAATCTCCTTATGCTAACCATGTTTTTCTGCCTGATAACATGCAAATTAAATTACTACACATGGGTTGTAGTAGCAGTCTCCTTTGGGGGCACCTGGGCATCACTGTTGATGGCAGTGTGGAAACTGGGCCTCCCAAGACAGGTGTGGCCACTGTCCTGTCCTGTGCAGGATGGGCACATTAACCAGAGTGCATGGATCTAATATTTTCATATTTTAGAATCTTTGCATATACATAATGATATTGTAGGAAGCCAAGTCTAAATCAGAATCCACTGACATTCTGCATATACTCTGTGCACAAAGCCAGAAGGTAGTTTTCTGTGGCGCAACGCTCGTGCCAGTCTTGTGATCACAGGTTGGCACCGGGTTCCCTGTGGAATACCACTTGTGCTGTAGTCATGGCACTCGGTTTCATATTTTAGTCTGAGGTTAGGGACATTTCGGGCTAGAGATGTCTATGTTAGCATAGTCTGAGGAGTGCATCTTCCCTGCAGACGTGACATTGGTGAGGCTCTATCCCTCTCTTCTGGGCACCAGGAAGATTCACATGTATGTTCTGAAGGAGGGGATGGAAAGATTTGTTGGTCTGGTCCACTTGGTGGGACAGTGCCTGCGCAGCTGCCTTTGGTTATTGAAATACCCTGAATCTCCACAAATACGTGTTTCTAAAGAATTGCATGAAGCAGATATACAAAAGCCTTCCCTTCAAACTGCTGGAGATGAACTTTGGGCTGCAGGGTCCGAGGCCTTTAGCATGGCCCAATATACTGAAGTGTTCATAGGAACATTGTAAATCATATTTGGCATGTGCTTATTTTCTTAGCAGCCATTGACAATTCAGAATTTCAGGCTGTGGCTAATGGGTCTGTTAAGGGAAATTTAGAAATGCTTTTTAGATAGTGGCAAATTTCATTTTGAGTTCTTACCACTTTAAGAATGTGATGAATTTTAAGATTTTCTCTTGAATGTAAAAGCAGGAAATGTTGATGTGAGTCTGTAACTTTTAATCAGTTTTGGCCTTGGTGGTATAGCCTGAGTCAGGCCAGAGTTGGGGAGCTTCTCTCAGACCCTTGCCAAACCTGAAGCTGGGCTTTGTGGAATAGAGGAATAATGGCTAGTTGAGAGAGATTTTCCTTATTGCCTTAATTTAGCTACTAGGGTTTAAAAACCTACTTAGACATCCTTTGTCAACACAGAGCAATGTATCTGTTCCTGGAAGGTGGTATCAGTGAGTATTCTCAGCATTTGCTGGTTTACTTCATGCTTCAAACTGCAGTAGATTAATTTACCTGAAATGGCACAGCACAGTCTACAGGCTGTTTCTCTGCAAAATGCACCATACTTTAAGGGAGAGGCTCACGCTGTTTCTGTGCAGAGCTGGTGGCGAGGTCCTGGCTGCCCCCAGACCTTGGTTCCTGCGTGGGGAGGTGGGAGCTGGATCCCTCACCTTCCCGACTGCCAACTCCTGACCAGGGCTGCCAGCCGTGTGACTCCCAGAGGAACTGTGTCCTTCACGCTGGAAACTACTCCAGGGAAGGCCAGGTCCTGCCCAGAGGGCAGCCTCTGAGCTCCATGCTGGGCTTTCGGAGCTCAATGTCGAGGTTTCTGCTTTGCAGGGCAGTTTTGTTTCTCAGCAAAGAATTATATGAATTCTACGTATTTTTTTATGTTTCATAGAATTCAATTCGCCACAATCTCTCTCTGAATCGTTATTTCATCAAAGTACCGCGTTCACAGGAAGAACCAGGCAAAGGCTCCTTCTGGAGGATAGACCCTGCCTCTGAGAGCAAATTGATAGAGCAGGCTTTTAGGAAAAGACGGCCTAGGGGCGTGCCTTGCTTTAGAACCCCTCTGGGACCGCTCTCTTCTAGGTAAGGACAAAAGGAGCCACAGGCCCTCAACTTGGTCAGTAAATGCACCTTCCATGTCTGATAAAGCTTCTTCTGTAAATGAAGGGGCTGCTGAATGTGTGTGGTTGATTGTTGGGATGGGGATTTGGAAAATGTTGGATGCTTCCCTTGTGCTTTGTTCCTAGTGGCCTGAGACCTTTGAGATGGTAAGATTTCCTCCTGCCCCAGCCCTCCCCCTAACTTCTGTGATCAGGTCTGCTTCCTCTGGTTGGCCACGTAATGCAGCTGTGTGAAGGCTCCTTTCCTTTGGTATAGGAGTAGGAGTAGTTCTTCAAAGCTGGTTTTTAGCTGCTTACACGCAAAAGATTGTTAATTTGCCTTAGTCTAAAGTCTCAACTGTTTAGCTTCACTAATTCTGTTTTTAACCAAAAATAGAGGTAAGCATACGCCTTAAATCCCTGCGAACCTGCCCACTGCCCACCCCTCTGTTGGACTACCCAGACCTGCTCGATGGCAGGAAGCCCTGCCCCGGGTGTGCAGCCTTCGCTGGGTTTGGGCAGTGTGAGTGCACCTAGCCAAGTGACACGCAGGGAGGCAGCTCGGCGCCGCGGGCCTCCCCTCTGCAGAGTGCGGGGCCGGCACAAAGCCCCCCCAATGCCTTGCTGAAAACCACTCTCTTCTCTTGGTGACACAGGAGCGCCCCTGCCTCTCCCAACCACGCAGGCGTGCTCTCTGCTCACTCCAGCGGCGCCCAGACCCCTGAGAGCCTGTCACGGGAAGGCTCTCCAGCCCCTCTGGAGCCCGAGCCCAGCGCCTCTCAGCCCAAACTCGCCGTCATCCAGGAGGCCCGGTTTGCCCAGAGTGCACCAGGTGAGCTGGGGGGCTGGGGGGCTTCCCAGAGGCTCCGTATCCCGCACTTTCTCAGGTATGCATTGTGTTAGGAAAGCCAGCAGCACTGTCGAGTTTTTTAAAAGCAGGTGAATGTTTTTTAGTTGGCCCTGGATGTAGATGCTCAAAGTAATGTAGAGTTCATCTGCTTCTCAGTTAGTTGCTTCTGTGTTGAAAAAGCCATGTAAATAACCCCACTGTTCCAGAAGATTCACAAATGACAAAAACTAGACACTCATTGGAAGCAGCATGCCTCCATTGAATGACTGGGTGAACATTCCACAGTTTATTTACAAGTCATAAGTAGAATTAAAATGTGTATCCTGAAGAAAGAAAAACTACACAGTCCAAAAATATGCCAGAATGACACCATGCTGTGGCTGGGATAGCTGCCTCGCGGGCCGTGGGGCACTTGCGCTCTCCCAGCTGTGTCTCCTCTGTTGTGCGCCTTCAGTCTGAGGCCCCATCCAGAAGGGTCGGAGGCTTCACGACAGCCTGCACTTGAGCTGGGAGCACTCTGCCGCCCACCCTGCTGTGAGGGTGTTGGTCCCAGGAAGAGCTGGCCATCTCAGGATGGCTTCCTCTTGGTCAAGTGGGATCGTTTTCATGAAGAACTGTGGAAGAAGTATCAAATGTAATCACTTTCATCTATCAGATGTAGGATTAGCAATTTAGAAAATGCCTCCTCAGATAGACCACTAAGTTATTGTGCACCCACTACAGCACCTTTCTGACTAAGAGTTACTTTGATTCTGGTGTTACTAGGGTCAGGATCAGTCTTTGGCTTATCAATAAATGTAATTTTAGCTCTCAATCTGGCTTGCTTTAAGAAGAGTTCTTGCATGTTTATATCTTTATTCCCTGGTTTGCAAAATTGTATGACTAAAGAACAGAAGAATTATTTTAATGTTACTACACTGGAGAAAATGTTATAGTGTGCTAGATTTCTTAGCAAAATATTTAAAAGTTTCTGTTGACCTTGTTGATTGAGCAGAACTACTAAATATTATATAATAAAAAGCACTGACCATTTTTTTAAAAATTAGAGGTAGGAATTAAATAGCCTTTTTAAGATACTATGAGTTTCTTACAAGGTGAAATGGGCCACATCCTGTATTTTATATTTATTTTTATTTATTACATTTATTTATTGTGTGTGTGTGGCCAGCTCAGCCCACCAGGGGGCGGGTCTGGCTGGCATGTGGTGCTGGGGATCGAACCGCGGTCCCTGTGCTTTGCCAAGCTTGTTTCAAGTAGGTGCTTTAGACCACTGAGCCATCTCTCCAGCCCCACATCCTGTATTTTAAATTAGAACATATAAGCCTGTGCTCAGTGTGTAGACTTTGTTCCCATGAAGGACAAGTCAGCCCAGCCTGCTCTGTCTCCTCTTGCAGGGTCACCTCTGTCTAGTCAGCCCGTTTTAATCACTGTGCAGCGGCAGCTACCCCCGGCCATGAAGCCCGTCACCTACACTGTTGCCACCCCTGTGACTACCGCCACCTCCCAGCCACCTGTCGTGCAGACGGTCCACGTCGTCCACCAGATACCAGCTGTGTCCGTCGCCAGTGTGGCTGGACTGGCCCCAGCGAACACATACACAGTTGCTGGACAAGCCGTGGTCACTCAGGCAGCAGTGCTGGCCCCTCCTAAGGCAGAGCCACATGAGAATGGAGAGCATAGGGAGGTCAAAGGTGAGCCCAGGAGGACAGGATGGGGCCTTGGATGGGGACAGCAGCACAGGGCTAGCGCCTGGCAGCCTGGTAGAAGGAAGGCCAGAACGTGCTTCTTTCTGACCATGTTTTGTGACTTGACTTGCTTTGAAAGACATTTTATGACAACTGTGCAGTTCAGTCTGGCCTGACTCACTTCGTAGCTCAGGCTGGCCTTGAACTCAAAGTCATCTTCCTGCTTCAGCCTCCTGAGTGTTGGGATTACAGACGTGTGTTACCATGCCAGGCCTAGTGCCATCTGATTTTGTTCATTTTCTTTTTTGGGGTGGGGGCAGGAATTGAACTGAGGACTTTGTACTTGCCAGGCAGGCACTTCTGCTGCTGAGCTATGTCCCCAGTGATCCATCTGATTTTTTTTTTTTTTTTTTTTTAATGAATGTAGGGCAGGGTCTGTAGGGTGTGCAGGGTCTCACTGCATAGTCAGACTTGTAGTGATTCTCCTGTTTACAGCCTCCCAAGTGCTGGGATTACAGGCGTGTGCCATCATGCCCCATCTCAGTGGCAGTCTCTGAGCGCCCTGGATATGGGGCTGGCACAGCACAGCCAGTGACTGAACCCTGGCCCCTGCGCTCTGCCAAAAGCAGGTGCTTTAGTCCGCTTAGCTCTCTGGCCAGCCCTGATTTTTAATGTTTAAATTGCTGAGATTTTTATCAGCTTTCCAAAAATACTAGTTGGTGCCATCTGTTTTTGTTTCAGTGAAAGTAGAACCTGTTCCTGCAATTAGCCATGCCACCCTGGGCACCACCAGCCGGGTGATCCAGGCATCCCAGGCCACCCCTGTCCAGACGGTCACCATAGTACAACAGGCACCTCTCGGCCAACACCAGCTTCCAATCAAAACCGTCACACAGAATGGGACTCATGTGGTGTCAGTTCCCGCTGCTGTGCACAGCCAGGTGAACAACGGTAAGCAGTGCCATCTGAGCAGTACCGATGCGGCCTTCCTCGGAACGGGTGTCCACTGTGCTCGGGTCTGATTCAGCTCTGATGTTCTCTGAAAAGGCATGTGCTTCTCAGCTATAGCAGATACGGTCCCGTAGGATCTAGCAGCTCCAAGGGAAGGTAGCTGGTGTGGGATTCCCATTGGGGCCCTTGTAAATGCCCATGCACAGCACAAGAGCTGCCTGGTTGCATGGTTCTCCGCATGGGGGTGCATCGCCAAGAATTTCTGACAGTGGAGGTGCTTCTTGCTCCAAACACCTTTTGAGACCCACACATGGAAGAGACGCTGCCAGTATTCTCTGAGACCCATGGAGGTATCAGACCCCCAGCCCTGGGCCTGCCTGTTAAAATGTGTTAGGGAGTCCTAGCTGTCGTTGAACCTACTCACAAGTACAGGGTTTCCAGGCTCGTGCTGTACGGGCACGTCAGATTTGCGGGTAGCTTCATGGCAGAGCACTTGCCTGCATGTGCAAGGCCACTGGGTCAGACCCCAGCACTGCACTAAAACCAAGGGCATTTATATTCCGAGAGTGCCTGCTGTCTTGTGTGATCCTGTAGCAGGCCCGCTGAGGCCACAGGTCAGGGTGCTTGGTGCAGGTCAGAAGCTTGTGAGCATGACCTGATGGAGACAGTGACCTCTGTGTTTCCCTCACCACCTTCCCCTCCACAGTGTAATAGAGGCTCTGCTGGGGAGACGGACAACCTGAGTGTTTTGGTAGTGGGCCCACTTGCCCTGCTTGTGGCAGGTTGCTACAGGGAATGCCCTGTGTCCCCTCAGGTTCTAGAGGTGCCCAGGTCTGGTGCTTGCTCCCAAGCAGTTCTGAGGTTATGCACAGCCTGAAGTAACTCACCTGGGGGCTGTGCTGCCCCACGTGATGACAGGCACACTGGAGATGCCCAGATTTGGAGTGCATCTGCGGTGCGGGAGAACTCAGCACCCAGCAAGCTGGCTTCCCCCTGTGTGGAACCACTGGGGCTGGCAGTGCCAGGCTATTGCACATGGCATTGGCCGGGTCACTGGACCAGCTCCAGGCTTCCATGTCACCCTCAGGTGCTTCTACACTGTGGCCTTCACATGTTTGGATTTGTACAGGTTTCCATTACAAATGAAAGCAAGAGCGTTAGCTTTCCGTTGTGGATGTTGAGAATAAAAGTCTGGCCATGGAATCGAACTCTTGACCTCACACCTGCCAGGCAGGCACTGTAGCTACATCCCTAACCTACAGAAGCTTTTCAAGAAAATAATTACAATTACAATTTTTCTACTCTTAGAATAAATGTTAATGCTTTCCACTAGAACCATGACCTCCTTGGTATCAGCCAAACTCAGGTTCTGTTTCTCTATTAACCAAACACATGGTACAGAAGCTATAAGGTGTGGTCACTGCTTCTTTTGTTTTTCAGCACTGGTACTAACCCCCGGGTCTCCCATGTAGGCAAGTGCTCTACCACTGAGCTAAATCACCAGTGCTTTTACTTTTGATATTGCATCTCCCTAAGTTGCCCAGGCTAATCTTTTTTTTTTTTTTTTTTTTTTTTTTTTTTTTTTTTTTTTTTTGGTGGAACCAGGGATTGAACTCAGGGCATTGCGCTTGCCAGGGAAGCGCTTATTCCACTGAGCCATCTCCCCGGCCCATCCCAGGCTAATCTTGACCTGCCCTGTGCTTTTCCTGCCTCAGCCTCCTGAGAAGTAGGCATGTACCACTATACCTGGCTCCATCACCCTTCTTCTTCTTCCTTCTTTCTTCTTTATTCTTCTTCTTCCTTTTTTTTGTTTTGTTTTGTTTTGTTTTGTTTTGTCTTTTGGAGACAGGGTCTCACTACGCAGCTCAGGTTGGTCTTGAGCTCACTTTATAGCCCAGGCTGGTGTCAACCTCACAATGATCCGATCCTCTGGGGTGCTGGGATTACAGGCGTGCGCTACCACCACCATGCCGAGCTCCATCACCTTCTGACAGCAAACTTGTTTTGCCCAAATTATACAGCACAGCATTAGCATCTGCTCTGGGGTGCTCACCTGTGACACCAGCTGCCAGTGCCAGGAGGAGTCACTATCCTGTTGCTCTCTCCACCTGTGGCACTGGACAGGGTGGGCAGGCTGGCTGCCTGCTGGGTCAGTGGCCGGTGTCCCAGCAGCAGCAAGCCCAGCACTGTCTTGTTTTCCATGCCCAGCCCAGTTCCCACCTAAGAAGAGAAAGGGCAAAAGTGCCCTCAGTTGCGTGCCAGAAGCCTTTCAGTGGTCCGCTGGTAACTGCCACTTGAGCGTAACTGAAACCTGCCTTACGAACCCTGGGCATTTGTCACCTAGAAGTCCTGGTTCTCGTTCACACTGCTAGGATTGGTAGTTACTCCTCTGTTCCTGCCCGTTTGCATGGTTATCCTGAGCGGGTGCACTGCAGCAGAGTCTGAGTCTGGCCGAAGTGGTCGGCTACCTGGCAGGGCAGGCCATGGAGGGGTGGCAGGCAGGCTGCAGGGAGATCTGGTGGCCACGATGACCCAGAGCTGCCATTCTTGAAGCAACAGCAAGCGTTGTGTGGTGTTGGGGGTTGGGGCTCTGACCTCCATCATTCCTGAGAGCACTCTATAATTCAGAATTGGAAGCTCATCCTCCTCTGTTCCTCCCTCCCGCCACCCTCCCTTCTTACCTCCCTTTGTGTCTTCCTTTTCTCTTTTTCTCCTGTGCTGCAGGTCTAACCCTGGCCCTCGTGCACACCAGGCAGGCGTCTGCCACTGACTCACACTCCGGCCCTTTTATAAGCTTTTCGTTATAGAAAAGATCAAGCATTTTGGAAAAATCAACCCAGAGCCAGGCTTGTCCCAGTTTCTTTCCCTCTGTTTGCCTCCCATTTCTCCAAGATATAGGCACTCTTTAGTAATGAGAGAAATGCTGGTATAGAACCTTAAATCTTAACAGCATTTCCTTTATAGCTAGTGTGTTGTTACAGTCCACATAATCATTTTTCTTTTGATTTTATGTGGGAAAATACAGAGAAGGTGTGTATTCCCCATCCTCCCTGGTATTAAACTCCGATTCTCTGCACTGAACAGCACCCTCACACCTTTCTGTTTTTTCACTTTGACACAAGGTTTTAATAAGCTGCCTAGACTGGCTTGGATTTGCAGTTCTCCTGCCTCAGCTCCCAGGCTGAAATTTACCATTTTAAGTGAACAGTTCAGTGACATTGAGCGTGTTTGTGTTGTTTAAAACTGCTACTTCTGTCTAGTTGAGAACCATTTCATCATTCCAGAAAGAGATTCCATGCCCTTGAAGCAGTTACCTCAGCTCCTGGGGGGCGCTGCTTTGCCTAGAGGCTCTGGAGCACCTGAGCTGGGTGGTGCACCTTTGTGGCGTGTGGCCTTCCCGGCGCTGCCTTCACCGAGTACACTCAGCATGTTGAGCTCCTCTGTCTGCATGGTTTCTAGCCAGTTGTCCTGTGGTCGGCACTCCCTGCTCGTTCATTAAGCAGCCGGTGGACCTTTTAGCTGGGTCGCGTCTCCCAGCTCTCTTGGGAAGTGTGCAAATGCAGTGAGTCACTCTTTCATTTCTTTTGGGCATACACCTAGAAGTGCAGTCCCTGTGTAAAGGAGACTTGTATTTTGTTCATTGAGAAATCATCAGCAAACACACCACAGAACCATTTTCAGGTTCCTGCATGCAACGTAAGGGGCCCTCAGAGTGCAGCCTCGCTTCACAGCCCTGCCTGCTCTGGGACTCCCAAGAGGTTGACTTTACCCTCATCTGTATGGGAGAGACAGTTGTGTTCATCACCTGATGCAGAGTTTGTAAAGAAAAGCAAAATGTTGGCAATCACTGATGAACCAAGGCACCACTGTTTCCTTCCTTTCCTTCTGACTTAGGTAAAGTGCTGCCCCATGGTAGATGAGGTTGTTTTGAGACAGGGTCTCACTGTGTAGTTGAAGTTGGCCTTGAATTTGAGGTGATCCTCCTGCTCAACTCTGGAGTGCCAAGATTACAGGGGTGCCACCACCCCTGGCTTGTGTGGTAGTTTTGGCTTGTATTTCTCTGATGACTAATGAGGTTGAGCATATTTTTCATGTGATTGTTGGTTGTGTGTGTTTCTTTGAAGAAATGTTTATTTAAGTCCTTTATTTTGTATATCTTTGAGTCCCATATTTTAATTGGACCGTCTGTTGCTAGCTCGGGTTGGAGGGTTGCAGGATGGGATGTGGTAAGAAGAGTCTCCAGGCACACCCACGCCAGTGGCTCCCTGTGCAATGTGGGACTCCCATGTCAGCTCCCAGGGCCATGCGGAAGTCCTGGGGGACTCTGCGGGTCTGTGTGCAGTAAGTACATGCATTGGTTGGGCCTGCCTGGGGCCCTGACAGAGGTGCCCTGCCATCGCAGGGCCGTGAGGGCAGCACAGACCCACGCTCTGGCTGCTCTCGTACCACTCTGCAGTAGTGCTGTGGCCACTGTCTTGGGGCAGGTGCAAGAATAAGGACCTTGACCTGCTATAGCTTCTAATGTGTGCTGGGAACACGTCCGTGCTGTGTGAGGGGTGAGGCTATGGCAAAGTGAGCCCTCCATGGAGTGTAGTCTGTGTTCCTGATGGCTGAAGATGTACCCTAACACCCCTGCCCATACTCAGCCTCCCCAAAGGACCCTGGAGGTTTCCTGGGAAGAGGGAGAGCAGGTGCTGCTTTCCCAGGAGTGCCGTCCCCCTGATGCGCTGCCGGGCTGCGGCTCAGGTGCTGGGCCACCTGCCTTCTTCGGCCCCCAGCTACTGTGTGACCTCCAGCCCATGGCTGCTCCTGGGGCCTGTTCCCTGTGCTGTGCTGATACTGGCTCCATCCTTGCCCGTTCCTGTACACAGCTGGTGGTATTTTTTACCACAGTGGGCCTTTTGGCTGTTCATTGGCAGGTGGGCAGTAGAATCTATAGACTCTGTGGCTGAGGTGACCATGAGTGATGCCTGGGTGTCTTGCACAGCCACATGGTAGCTCACAGCCAGGTGGAGCTGGGGGCGGGTCCTGTGTGTGCTTTTTGTCAGGTGTGTGGATCTGCTCACAGATCTGCTGTCCTCTTGAGTCGAATTTCCTTGCCAGAGACATAGGAGAATCAGGTGCTGAGTGGTCTTCCTCCTTGAGGCCCTGCCTGTCCATTGTGTGGCTCTGTGCAGGGAAGCTGCTCTTCCTGTGCTTTGGTTCTGTGCCATAAGCCCTCACGGTGGGCATTGTTCTCCTCTGGAGCCCCAAGCGTGGCACTGAATCCCCCACCGGCCCTGCCCCTTTGTTTGGTGAGGCACTATGGTGGCCAGGGCTGTGGCAGAGGTCCAGCTTCCCAGGAGTAGTGGTGCATGTTAGCTGCTACCGCAAGAATGGTGGTAGCAGAACACTCCTTGCAGCTCGGCCTGCCCTTGAGAATGGTGCTGCCCTGGTGGAGGTGGGGAGGTGGTGTGCCCTAGGTGCAGGGCCAGACCAGCGGCCGTGCACCTGCCAAGTGGTCAGCTGGGAGGTGTGTATGGCCCACAGGTCAGGTCTCACTTTGTCGTGTGACGTCCCTCTGATGACGTGCTCCGCCCACAGCAGAGCTCGCTTCTCCCCAGCCAGCAGCTCCCCTGTGCCCAGCTCAGAGTGATGGGAATGTTCCCGTGCCTGTGTGGAGATGCCTGTCCAGCCCACCAGGCCTCAGGGCTGCCAGAAGTCTTCTCCCTGAGATGTGGTGTCGTCTGGCTCTAATCATTCTGATCTTGGTCATGCCCATCCTGGATCCTCTGCCTTCTGTCAAGTTTTAGACTTCTTGATCAGAAGCTGCTGCCTAGCAGCTGGGATGGAGCTGAGTCCAGGGAAGGTTTGGGCAGAGCGGGCTCTGCACAGTACTGGGGCCTCTGTCTTGAAGTCTCAGTTTATCTTATTCTGCATGCCCTAGCCCGTGCACTTAGCGTCCTGTGTCCTCTGTGCCTTTAAGGTGACATGTTAAGACCAGAGTCCTCAGGCTCATGACTTGCCCCAGACCTAATATGGCAGGGCCTGGGGACCTTGGGTGTGAGGTAGAGCCAAGCTGGAGCCTGTACATCCTCCGGGTGCACAGCTTTAGGCCTTGTGCATCCTCTGCAGGCAGGACCAGCTGTCTAGGGTGAGGTACAGCTGAGCCCTGCCACTCATGAGAGGGCAGCTGCCCAACCAGCTTGACCCCAGGTGTGCTGCACAGGAAGGGGCCGGGCCACCATAGCTGTGCAGACTAGGTGGGCTATGCTGGGTGGGCAGATACGCAGAGCTATCCAGGCAAGACTCAGGTGACACAGGAAGAGGCTGGAGACCTGTATCACAGTTCCTCGGTGCTGTGTCCCAAGCCAGTGTCTGGGATAGAAACAGCGGTATCTGCAGCAGTGCACTGGAGACAGAATCCTGCTGGCTCTACTGGGGGACCCAGGGGTGGGTGTGAAGTTGGGGCCCTCGGCTGGGCATGTTGCTGCTGAGTCAGAGACTGTGCCTGGCAGATTTCTTTCCTTCCTGGGAGGACTCCATCCTTTGTGCTGCTCCTTCCGTGACTCTGGCAAGGCCTGCCTGGCTGTGGAAGGCAGTCCTGTTCTCAGCACACTCTGACTTAAATGTTGACCTCATCTAAACAGTAGCTGCACAGGAATCCCAGGGTGGTCTTGACCAGTGTTGGGGCCTGTGGCCAGCCAGGCTCCTTGCGATTTTGCTGCCCCATCTCCGATGGCAGACTGGTCTGCAAGGTCGCTGTGGGTGGTAGGCTGCAGGGGCTCCTCGCTCACTGTGCACTCCAAGCCCACCCAGGCGTGCAGAGCTGGCCGCCTCGCAGGCCCAGCAGCCCTGCACCCCACAGTGGGGTCCTCACTGTGGGGGTGTGAGCCCCCCCAGCCCCGCCCCCATGCAGGGGTGGGAATAGCCTTCCTGTGTGTCTGCTGAACTCTGAGGAGCCAGCAGCAGTGCGAAAGAGCTTGCGTTTGGAAGCCACAAAACAATGGTGGTTATAAATAACTCAGCACACCAGATATCACCAACCTGCTGCAGTTCAGCTCCAGTGGCCCAGCTCGAGCCTGGGTGGCCCTGGTTATGGAGGGTTCCCCACTGTGTGGCATCTGACTCAGTGTCTCTTTCCAGCAGCGGCCAGTCCCCTGCACATGTTAGCAACCCACGCATCAGCCTCGGCCTCCCTACCCACAAAGCGACAGAATGGTGATCAGGCCGAGCAGCCAGAGCTGAAGCGGATCAAGACGGAAGATGGTGAGAGCATTGTCATTGCCCTGAGTGTGGACGCGCCCCCAGCGACTGTGAGGGAATAGGGTCCAGAGCCAGTGGCCGGGAGAGCTTTGCTCACGTACAACATCAACCTTGTGGTGCCAAAAGGAGACGTTGCCTCTCACCGACTGCGCCAGTCTCGGTTGGGGAGGCTGTGTGGTTGGACTGCGCCTCTCAGCACTGGACACAAATCCAGGCAGCCTTAACGCTCCTCCCCTCCACAGCAGGTGCACCCTGGCTCCCGGCACTGGCTCCCTGCAGGGCGCTTGCTGGGTGCTGTCTGCGGCTCCACAGTGAAAGAAGCGTCCAGTCCCTTCCAGAGGCTGAGCTGTGCCCCTGACGACGTGGCTGGGCGTCCTCCAGGGGCAGCGCCGAGCCACCCTGCCACCTCCCAGGACCTCATGGGCGGCTAGGAGGCAGGACAGCTGAGGTGTGCTCACCTTCCAGAACAGTGGGGTGTTTGCTGTTTCCCATCTCTCTGTTCTGCTCCGGAAAGTTTGGATCACAGGACCCTGCATCTGGAATCATGGTTAATAGCAGCTCTGTCATTCTGTTCGTCCCTGTGGTGGGTTTGTCCCTGGATGGTTCCCACAGTCCCCTCCATGGCCTGCCACATCCCAGTGAGTATGGGAGCCACGGCCTGATGAATGGGGGCCGGGCTACAAGGACGGGCGCAGGCAGCAGGCGCTTACTGGCTCTCCTTTGTTTCTTTATGTTGACTTTGTCCCCAGCCTCATTTCCCACCCTGAGAGAGTAAAACAAGTCTCCTAAATGTTGTGTGTGCTTAAGCAACAGGACCCTGACCTCCCTCGGAGAGATTTCGTCTTTTATCACACACCCTTTTGGGCACAGATCACAGAACCATGTGGCACTTGCTCCCTGCGGAGCACCTGGAGGTCTTTTGCAGGCTGCCATGGGAAGTCTCCTTGACCTTCCAGAACCAAGCCCAACACTAAGGCCAGCTTCTCTCCTTCTGGAAAGGGTTGGAGGAGGTTGAGCAGGCAGAGAACTGAAGCCGCGGCCCAGCCCCTCAAAGGCAGCCTCCCAGGGTTCTTGAGCTGGCTGTGCATCCGCGCATCCAGGGCTGCAGCCTTATTGTGAATTTTTTAATGTCATCATCATAGTGTTATTTATTTAATGTAGTTGCTTTGGTATTTAAGTTTTTTTTTTTTAAGAGAGGAAAAAATCCTGTATTTTCCTGATGGAATGAAATGGCTCAGAATGGTATATTTAGGCAATTTAAAAACATTTATTATTTACATAAAGACCAAATATGATAAATCTGTTCTAAGTATTGTGTGTCACCCGTCTCGAGCTGTCACAGTGTATTGCAGATGATGCGTGTGAGTCACGGGGTCTCTGCGAACTGCTGGATTTATAACTCAGCCATGTGAAATAAAAGTGAGACATCCTGTGCGTGAGCCGTGTGTGACACTACACACATCCTCCGCGGAGCCGTGGTCTTCGCTTGCCCTGCAGCGGCCCGTGGCTGAGGCCTGGGATGTCCTCGCCTTCACCGGTAGAAGCTCTGCATTAACAAGGGCACTTGGACGTGCAGCATTCCTGCAGGGCCCGGCTCAAGCGACCTGGGCGGGGCATCACGTGGCCTGGAGCTGCTTCCAGGGGGCAGCAGGACCTGGTGACTCCTTAAGGGAGCACACCGAGCTCTCCACAGGCCTCGGGGTATCGCCAGGGTTTTTGGTGCGAAGTCCAAGCTTCCAGTGCAAAGGGAGAGGAGGAGCTTACCTGTGCTTGACGGGGGCCTTCTCCCGAGCCTCACCTCATCCGAGTGGTGAGCTCCTCTCCTCTCCCTCTCTGCTTTGGCACATAGGAATTTAAGGCTGTCACAAAGCAGATAAACTGAGCCCCAGATTAGCGAGTGGCTGTGCCCAGGTTTTTCTCCTGCCTTTAGGGCTCTGTAAATTTCATGTGGTTCTAAGTCCCTGGGAGCCTGCTGCCGGCAAGGTGGGCCCCCGCAGGCCCAGTGAGTCGCAGGGTGCCCAGTTGTGCACGGGGGTTCCTCAGTGTCTTTCCCCAAGAAGTCTCTGACCTTTGCAAACTTCTGAGCTCCCTCAGGGACTAGAAACTTTAATGTCAGCATCTCTACCCTGAACCTGCAAGGACAGAGGGAGACCGCCTGTGACCCAGACCCGGATGTGCAGAGTCCTGTCCCTGAGGGGCTCTTCTGCTGGCTACTTGTGACAGCGGGCATGGGACATGCGCCACCTCTGTGCCGCTGCTGGTGTGGCCAGTGTGGTATGAGAGACCACTTTGCAGCCCAGGCTTCTGCTGTCGGTGTGTAGAGGGTGATTTATGTGCAGAGATGTGAAATTTTTAAGAAGTACCAAGTTCCTGAAATTCAATAAAATATTTTTATTAATTTTAATTGAATACAGAGTGTCATTGTTACTTTGGTGAGCATGGACGGTCCTGCTGGACCTTTGCACACTCTTGCGCACTTGGAGGGCGCTTGAGCAGCTTGGGCGAGGTGCGCGGTCAGACAGTGGCCCTGTGTCAGACTGCGGTGTTGGTGCTGATGTGGAGTTGGAGGTGCCGTGAGCTGTCTGCTGTTGCTGCCTCTTTTGTTGGACTGGCCTGAGGGCCAAGGTCACTACAGATAACGAGATGGGGCACAGATCTCTGAAATGCTGCAGTGGGTTTGCGTCCCAGTCAGGAATGTGGACTCTTCCTGCGATGCTGTCTGCACGGATGCTGCTGTCCTCAGGCTCCTGAAGCCCCTAGCTCCCACCAGGTTCGCAGAGCCCTGCAGTAGGCCGTGGGCCGAGGTGGAGGACCCCTCACTGGCCCACCCATTCCCACTCCTGGAACAGAAGGGGACACCATGCTCCGTCTGGTCCTGTGTTGGCTGCGGCTTTAGGAGATGTTGGGAGACCTGTTGTTAGGTTTGCTGCTGTAGCAACACCAGGCATAGCCATGGGCAGAACAAAAGGCTGCACCTCTTTCGAGGGACCTGGGGAAAGAACCTGCGGCCTCCACTAGTGGGGAGGCTGGGCCAGTGTGGGCTGGAGGACGCCACAGCTGAGGATGTCGGGCCCTGGACAAGCTGACCGTGCAGCTGTGCTGCTGCCATGCACGGTCCACAGACACGGTGGGTTGGAGGGTCTTGGGTTGCAGCAGGCGTCCCAGGCCTGTGTTCTCCCACTGTCAATGCAGGGACTGTCAGGGTCTGCAGGAAAGAGTGGTTTAAACCCACGGGGAATTGGAAGCTTGGATCCTTGGTACAAAAATATGTCTGGCATCTCCTGGGGTGCATGGCACTTCGTTGACACAAGTCAGGAGACAGGTCCCAGAAGGACATCCTGGGAAACAGCCCATGGGCACATTGTACCTGGAGGGCAGCGCCCAACTCAGGGTCCCTTACTCCTTCCCAAGGAGCTGGACCTGGGACACTGGAGGCCGGGAGAGTGCAGGACACATTGCTGTTGCTGATTTCAGGGCCCCAAGCCGCACAGGTATGGCACCGGGCACACATGGGTTCGGGTCTGGACCTGAGCCGTCACCAACTGATGGAGAGACCACGATGAGAGCAAGAAGAACCCCTAAAACTCTGCACTCTGAGCATCCTTGGCAGTGCTGACCCAAGGGACCCTGGGCAGTCCCAGAGCTGCAGGCCAGGCCAACCTGAAGCTGTGCATGGGACAGCAGGCAACACAACAGGCAAAACCCTCAGTGCATTCCGAAGAGCGCAGAAGCCCCTGGGGAGCTGACAGCGGTCCACTCAGCAGTGCCAAGCAACTTAGGAGCATCGTGATGGTCACCTCTGTGCTCAACAGAGGAAAGCACTGAGAAGGCGGTACAGAGCCTGACCTGAGAGCACCTCCACTGTGGCAGAGGGGCTTTGGGATTGATCATACTTCGGGAATTGGGAGGCACCTGCTGTGTCCAGGCGGGTGCCCTGGGACACTTGAGTTCCTTAAACACATCACTAAAGACAAAAATGGTCAAGCAAAGCGCAGATACACTCGGGGTAAACTCAGGATTCTGTTTGGGCTGGGGGTGTTGATGCATGCCTTGCAGTCCCAGAAGCCTGGGAGGCGAGGAAGGAGGGCTCACAAGTACAAGCTCACCCTCAACGACTTACTGAGACTGTCTCAAAAAAATGTTTTAAATGCTGGGCATGAAACTTATTGTGGGGACCTGCATTCAATCCCTACTACTGTAAATAAACATTTTTAAATATGGTAGAAACTTCAGGGGAGTGTGGTCATTTTGAGACAAGGTCTCATTGCAGTTCTGGCCTTTGAACTCACTATGTAGCCCAGGCTGATCTCACAGTGATCCTCCTGCCTCAGCCTCCTGAATGCTGGGATTGCAGGTGTGCCCATGCCCAGCAACTTTTTAATAATTACATAAAATGTTAAGTATCTCGGGCTGGTGAGATGGCTCAGTGGTCTAAAGCACCTACTTAGAACAAGCTAAGCTAAGCAAAGCACAGGGACGACGGTTCAGTCCCCCAGCACCACATGCCAGCCAGCCCCGCCCCCTGGTGGGCTGAACTGGCCACACCCACAAAATAAATGAATAAATAAATAATAATTCTTTTTTTTTAATTTTTATTTATTT